CGTGTAGGGCCGTATACAGTCTGGAATTTGGAATTGCCGGGTAGCGTGTGACGGCCGATAATGATACAAAGTCAATGATTAAATACATATAGAAGATATTAATGAAGATTTTGATTAAAATTAGGTTAGGACGACGGCAATAAAGAATAAACATTGGTTATGCAGGCATTTTTTATTCGCAAAGTCAATGTTGTGAGAAATGGTAACTTGATACCCGATAGCCTGAGAACATCGGGAATAACGATTATCGCTAATGGATCAAGAAGTTGGTTTCTCAATAAGTTTCGAGAATAATTACTTGTGCGCCGCTAATTTTATAATAAATTTTACAATAATGCCACAACAACACACACGGCCTTCGTCATTGGTTATTTATTTATAATTGTTCTTTTTCTTTTTTTCCCAGGTGCTTAATCAATTGGAGGAACTTCTTTCTGATATGAAGTCTGACGTAAGTCGATTGCCAGCCACCTTGGCTCGCATACCACCAGTAGCTCAGCGATTACAGATGTCCGAGCGATCGATCCTGAGCCGATTGGCAGCTACGGCTCCCGGTGGCAACAGTACGCAGACCGGACAAGCTGCATTATTAGCACAACAATTTCCCCCTGGCTTCACCGGCGGTCAAATACCAGCCACATTCGCCGGAGCTGCGAATTTCGGCAACTTCAGGCCACAATATTCCGTGCCTGGGCAACCACCTCAAGGCTTTGCAGGTACGTGGTCGCTTAGAAATAAGTCCGCCCACATCACGATCCACGATATTAACGATCCGTGACTTTTTCTTCCAGCTTGAGTGACTTGAGCAGCAGACACTTTACAGCGGTACAATGAAAAGCAGGTAACTCACATCAACCGACATAATTCACACTTCGGGCTGATGCTCGGAGAATGAATGGCTAGCGCGCTGCGTAACCTTATTTTTCGTAAACCACACAATTTCTAGCTGAATTCTCACTAAATAAGGATCTTTAAGGATATGCGCTAAACGTAAACAAATAATATCAGTACTATCTTAAACAGTAAATTGAAAAGTTACGTTTTTCCTGTATTTATTATGTGTATACATTTATCGAATCGAAGAAAAAAAAACTCTTTTTGTATTGTCAAGATATGGATATGGATATAAGCGATCGACATCCCTCCAATCGAAAAGAACAGAAACTGCGCCAGCGTCTCTTGTATGTAATAAGTACACATTACTTAAATTTATTTAAGCAAAACTGTATTTTTATTTGGAGACTAAGATAAACTTTGTTCAAAGAATTTTTCCATTTCACTTATTTATACCTGCCCATACAATTCCTAATTATAACTGTATATGGTACTGCACTGTTTGATAATTTATTCGTTTAAATAGTCAGATTAAATCAATTTTATAAGCTCACATTGTCACGAAACTAGTGCATTGAATCGATATAATGGATACCTTTATGCATTAGTGTTAGGAATAATTAATGATTATGGAAGGGCAATCGTACTTTAATAAAATATGCGATCTGAAAACTTGGAGGATATTCACAAATTACATAAATCTTTTATAACTGTGAACGAACAAGATTCTTTGCGTTTTATAACTAAATGTAGCCAATTAAAGAGTCATTTCATATATTGTTTTGCATTTTCATTCGTGTTTTTTTTAGGTTTTACAATAATGATTTAACATTAAAAAGGTCATCATTAAATAAGATAGTAAATAATTATAAAGACAATATAAAATTATTATTCAACTATTCTAAAATTATCGACAAAATTTACAAAAGAAAAATGCTATTGTGCTAAAACTGATTATTCTATAACAAAGTTTTTTGTGACAAGATTTAGTATCTGCACTTAAATACTTGTAAGTACTGCTTAATTATAAAAGTCTAGAGAGCACTAAATTATTCACATTAAATTATAATTGCTTATCAACAAATGAAATGAAAGATATAGCAACTTTTGCTGACAATAGAATGACCTTCAAAAATGAACAAATCTGATTAAATAAATGTTAATAAAACTTCACAGATAATTATACTCAAGTATTAATTGATTCGTATTAGGAATTGTAATTAAATAATTTTTGGCCAAATGATTTTAATTGATTAGACTATTCAAGAAATATATTGATCAATATTCTACATTAATTCATACTTAACAAAATATCATATTACACTAATGTAATGCTATTATATATTTATTTTATCTTTAAATTTTATCTGCATTAGTAATTTTTATTTGTACGTATCTTGGCAGAACATAAAATTGAAAAATACTTATCTAACGACGCCTCTCTTAAAGAATAAAGAAAAGTAAGAGTGCTTTCACGCATTATTAGTGAACTCTGATAAATGTATTTGTTTTTTTTTTTTTTTTTTTTTTTTTTTTTTTACCCCTTTTTTTTTTTTTTTCTTTTCATTGACTTTTAAATCTTATTTTTATTAACTGTACAAATATGAGTTTGTACATTTTGAATGTATATTTAAGTGTTTATGTGTGCATAATTAAAGCTTACATTAGGATTCATGATTGATATTGACTTTTACAATTTACAAGTATGATTGGTGTGTACCTTATCAATCAAATAATTTCAAAACGCTTAATTAAAAAAAAAAAAAAAATTATATTTTATTTAAATAATGTTAACTAAATAACATTAACTTCAATTGTATTTAACGAAGTTGTAAGTAAAACGTAAAAATTAGCTTAATATTGATTTTCGTTGTGTTATAGGTAGTTAATAAAGATTCGATGGATTTCAATTTCGAACATTAAGAAAAGTGCTGTAAAAACATATTAAAAAGTCAAATTCACATTTTGATTTTAATTAACACGAGATCGATAATTTCGAAAATCTGACAGGAAAATAATGGAGTTGGAAATGTACGTCTTAGTCTGTCTGGCTTAGAAATTAATTAATGAAACGTAAAAATCAATATCAATGATTGAAGATGTTATAAGAAGTTCGACAATCTTATTCTACGGATCGCTTCACACGGATTCGGAAGAATACTCATTACTAGCTCACAGTCCCCTATGGAGGGATGCTTGAGTCGAGTGTTATTTTGAGCACTCAATTACAAATAAGCATTTTAGAAAAGTTGCGCGGTACTCGAATTCAATTGAGTGTGTATAATGAGATTAAAGTCAAGTGTTGCTCCCGAATGGGGCAATTTTAAGAGTGAAAGCTAAAAGTAGATTTATACGTTAAGCTCTTGATTTTCATGCTCACAGAATCAGTTTTAATCGTGTGGACTGATACGAGAATCGAAAGATTAGAGCGACTCTCGATCAAAATCTATATAAATAATTTATGAAATTGAATGAGCAATGAATAAATAATTATTAATTTGACGCGTTGTTGATACTATAATCATTGCTTCGTGCGCTATACGACAATACAGGAGCATCATATTGTAACGAATGTTAATCGTTGCTTTGAGGCTTTGATTTGAGCAATTTCAATTAGTTTCTGGATGAAATATTTGAATGATAGTTTACGGAAATGTGGTTTAATTTCAAAGTCATGAAATGGGAATTACTGCATTATCAACAGCTGCGCCGTATACAGAAGTTGAGAATTAATTGTTATTGATGTTACGTTGCATGAGTAATCGGTGACTTAATTACAATAATTGTCTCAGAGTTTTTATTAAAAGTGATTTTTTGCAAAAATTTTCTATTTTTTTTTTTTTTTTCATTATTTTTCAAAATTCAGCACACTTTATATTATTGAAGGTTTTTAATTCAATTACTAAAAGCATAATTTGTAGGTAAAAGCAAAGCAATATTAATTGTTTTTTCTACGGCCTTTTAGCAATTGATCGTCGATAACAGGAAAATACTATTTAGTATGTGTCCAAGCTCTAATTTAATACTATTCAATGTTTTATATAATGATTGATGATACGACATCGTAAAATTTAGTAGATACTTAATGTATATTGACATGGTCCATTGTCTAAAGATTAGTTACTTTATGTGAAACTTATTTAAATAATAACATTTGTAATATCAATAAAATAATGATATCGTCTTGTGCATTTAGATATTGACAAAAGTATATATATATATATATATATATATATATATATATATATATTTGGAAAAATGATTAAAATATCAATTATTTAAAATTATTCAAGGAACTTGAGAGCAATTTAAAGTATAAAAACAATAAATGTTAATAATTGTTTATTTTTAATAATATAGATTGTGACAACAACTTCACTGTACCCTAATTATTTTTATTGTCAATATGTGCAAGCTCAGTTCAGAGAACAATGTACTGCTTCTCAGTATTGCTTTTTTTATTTGATGCATACACGAGTATAATATTAGTCGATTTGTAAGCTTGAGAGAAATGATTTATCCTTTATTTGTTTGTATTGAGAGAGAGAGAGAGAGAGAGAGAGAGAGAGAATAAGAATTATGAAAGGCATTGAAGCATTAGTAAATTTAGTAAACGCAAATGATTAATTTAAATCGACATGAAATTTTTAAAATCATTCACTATGTACGACTGCCATTATTTATTACAGCAAACGACTGTTATATTTATTACTGATAACAAAAATATTCTATATAAATGTATGTTGTTATTATATTAATGAATTTACTTTTAATTTTGTTAATAGTAATTGTTAATTAAGTATTGTAAATAATACTGTTTAGTAAAGTTTGTTAAATTTTGAAATTGTGCTGTTTTGTTCAAGGTTATTGTAGGGTAAGAAACGTTTTTCCAACTATTTTATAATCTGTATGATAATATAAAATTTCTTAAATAAAGTCTTTGATTTTTTTTTTTCTCATAATAGTTACAATTTATATTATAAAGAAACAAGTAGAGTATAAAGTATAAAGTATATTAGAAAATTAAGATAAAAAGTTTAACAAAATCACTAACTGTAACATAAATTGTCATAAAAATAAAAAAGCTTTATTGTATATACTTTATTGTATTTATATTTGCTTTTTCTACATATTATTATTAATTGTTTTTATTATAAATTATTACAATTTAGGTCTATGCAGCGAGGTTATAACAGACATATTAATTATATCTTATTTGTATTTACAATTATCGGGTTAAATGTTTTAAAATCTCGAAATGGAATAATTAATTGTTCGATCGTGTCGTTCGGTGTCGTTCCGAGAATTGTGTTCTTAGTTTTTGAGGTTAGGAATGAGCTTCGTCTTTAATTTCTTCAAAAATGTTGTTTTCAGAATGTTAGAGGTAATTTGGTTTGGAAAAAGGAAAATTTCAAATTCATTGAGTATTTACGTGAAAACCAATACTGGAAACACACTTGCCCTTAATCTTGACCCAAAATGGGATATTCGAAATGTCAAAGAAATCGTTGCACCAAAAATGGGTATTTCACCAGATAATATAAAAATAATTTTCGCTGGCAAAGAATTACATAATTCCACCATCATTGAGGTCTTTACTTATTTTCATGGTTTTCTTACGATTTTAAAAATAAAATCTAATGTTAATGTAATTTTAGGACTGTGATTTAGGCCAACAAAGTACCTTGCATGCAGTTCGTACACCACAAAGAATAATTAAAGCAAATCGCTTAAATAATACGATTGCCGAATCTATTTCAGAATCTGATTTAGACGATAGCGGAGGTAGCAAACCATTGAATGAAACTCTTACCGACTTATCTTTAGATGAATCTACCGAAGAAGAGCAAAAAGTAGTAAATATCGGGTATTTATTTTTCTGCGAAATATCAGGTATTATAATTTTATTTTACTTATCATGTCGCAGGAAGGACAAAGTAGGAAGGCACATTTTTATGTATATTGTTCGATTCCTTGTAAGTCGGTAAAACCTGGTAAATTAAGAGTTCGTTGTAATAATTGTGGGAGTGGTGCCGTAACTGTTGATAAAGATCCTCAGTCTTGGCCAGATGTTTTATTACCAAAAAGAATTACCATTCATTGTGAAAATCAATTTTGTCCCACCTTGACCTCTGCCAATGGAGACACAGAGTCACAAATCAATTTTGCCCAATTTTTTTTCAAATGTGCAAGTCATACGAGTTTAGGCGAGAAAGACGAAGCCGTTCCATTGTATTTGATTAAACCTAATCTTGCAAAAATTCCTTGCTTAGCTTGTACAGATATTAGGTATGTATATAAATATTTGTGTAAAAAATTAATCAAGTAACGATAGGATTTCGTTTTTCAAATTTTATAATTTGAATGGAGTCAAAAATTAAGAATCATATATAAACAAGATTTTTATTTATTAATGATTTATAAAATTTAGGAAACTAATAGAATATTTGACAATTTTTATTTTATAGGGATACAGTTTTAGTTTTCCCATGTGAAGCTGGACATGTTACTTGCTTAGATTGTTTTCGTGATTATTGTATAGTTCGATTACAAGAACGTCAATTCATTTTTGACAATGAAACAGAATATTATACTCTTCCATGTCCAGCTGGCTGCGCAACTTCCTTTATTCGTGAAATTCATCACTTTCATCTTCTACCACCCGCTCAGGTATCATTTACTATTGCATACAAAATAAAATCGATAGCGTTAAGTTGTAGGTATTTAATACTAACAATTATTTTGTAAAGTACGAACGCTATCATCGTTTTGGGACCGAAGAATATGTTCTTAAAGCAGGAGGATTACTTTGTCCCCAACCAGATTGTGGAATGGGAATTATTCCTACTTTGGATCAGGGAGAAGATCAAGAGGAATGTCGAAAAATTCAATGTATTGGTGGTTGCGGTGTATGTTTTTTCTTTAATTTAATCATTTCTTTAGCACTTTGTTTATATTGTTTTATTAGTTTTCAGTATTTTTGAATAATTTTATTATTTTTTCAATGTTAAATATATGTTTTGTACATACCATCATTGCATATCAATCAATATTTAGGATATTATAAATACTATATTTTCTTACGCTAAGTATATAGTAATTAAATTATTTATAAGTAATTTATTTATTACATATTTATTTTACACTCTTTTAACTAAAAATATTAAATTTTTATTCCTATATAAAATCGATATTTTTTTTTAATAAACATTTTTTCTTCTTATTAACTCTATCATTTTTAGTATGTTTTTTGTAGAAAATGCTTACAAGGTTTTCACGTTGGTGAATGCGAAAACCAACCCACAGTTTCAAGTGCAAATTCTGGTCAAGGCTGCTATTATGTGGATCCAATGAAAGCCAAAAATGTTAGTAAATGATAAAAGATGATTATAAAAGAATTATTATAAAATTATAAAAGAAAAAATCTTGATACACATTTATTTCCATTGGTTAAGTCATACATTGTCAATCTATGCTTTTCAGGCCAAGTGGGATGATGCCAGTAAAAAGACAATACAAATATCCACGAAGCCATGCCCAAAATGTCGTACTCCGACTGAAAGAGACGGTAAGTGGATAAATAATCATAAATGTCTCAAATTCTTTAAACATTTAAAAATGTCAATGAAACGTATTCGTATTTTGTGCTTACAGGCGGTTGTATGCATATGATTTGTACAAGAGCAGGTTGCGGCTTTCAATGGTGTTGGATTTGTCAAACTCCTTGGACGCGAGATTGCATGGGTAATCATTGGTTTGGATAATCCATAAGTTTCACAATCAATTTGCATTCTTTTATTTTCTATGCAACTCGATAAGCCGTTTCTTTGTTTTTTATAAAAATGGTCATACCGAAAGTTTTTTTCTTTTTAATGGAGTGGTTATTCTGTAAAAATATATTTGTAAATATTTAAATTTTTAATAGCTTTTCTAAATTCTTATAGAAACATTTATATTAATTGATAGATATAATATACAAAAAAAAATATATATATATATATATATATATATATATACATATATATGTGTGTGTGTGTGTGTGTGTGTTTGTAGGTTTATTATATAATAATAAATATTTATTTGAGCATAATAAAATTTTTATAAAATTTATATATAAAATATAATATTTGTTCTATAAAGTAATATGTCATATTACTTTATTATTTAAATAATTCATAATTTCTAATTAAATAAGTTTTTATAATTAATACATGTTTAATATGTTATAAATTTAATACATTATTTAATATTTAAAGAATTTATTTTAATAATTAAAAAAATTGAGAATATTACTTCATTTTTAAAATCTGATTTGAAATTGAAATCGAAATTTGTTTTGTATTTTATATTAAATTTAATTTATAAATTGCAATATTAAAAATATAAAATCTTATGTATTACATTGTACCTTTCTATTTGTGTATGGGTGGGTGTATATATGTATAATACATAATTTCTATATAAAATCGTTTTAAAACAAATGTGCAGTAAGAAGTCGTATGTTTTTTATTATTGAACTTAATGTAAAAGTGATAAGAATTATCAAACATTTTTATGAAAACAAGCACAATATAAATATTATCGTTATTACTCTCTGAATTAGGAAGATAAATGAATAAAAGATTTTCAACAGTTGTGATTTTACACATTGATAATCTTACTGGATTTCTTTCTCGTGTTATAGATCGCTCACAAGTAAGATTTTTACTTTTTAAATATTTCAGTATATGAATTATCTTAATATAATAATAATGTATAAATCCACAAAGATATATATTGTATCAAATTATATATATATATATATATATATGTGTGTGTTGTGTGTGTGTTGTAAGAAATGTAAATAAACGAGAGCTGTTATATCTTTATTAATCATTTATATTTATTATATATTTATGATAAAAAAATAAAATATTTATTATAAAATAAATGACTTTTCATTGTGTAACGTTATTCTATTTGCAAAAATTATTCTCTTAAAAAATAGTACCTGAAGTATCAATTCGTTTGTAATTGGGTTTTTTATTGCACCCAATGACAAGTTCGATTTTTTTATCACATTACGTGGTCATAAATTTTTTTTTTTGAAGTATTCGAACCTATTGAACACCAAGTAAGTTTAAAAAATTATTCAAAAAACATGTTGGAAAATGATTACAATAATAATAAAAATTATAAACTAACAATAGATAATAGGTAATGATTTATTATTAATGGTTAAACAATATAGTATTGTTAATATTACATTTTCTTTATATAACAATACTTTATTATTTAAATAAAAATGATCGTTTGAATGTCGGTCTTTTTTTTTTTTATAATAAACAAAGGTTATCTAAACATCGTGAAAGATTTAAAACATTAATTCGATAATTTAATATTAATATTAACGACAATTAACTACAAAAAAAAAAAAAAAAAAAAAAAAAAAAAAAAAAAAACATAGAAAGCTATTAACATCTAAATCACTGAACGTTTCTCTTTAAAAGTGTTTTTGATAATTGAATGTGCTACACTATTTAATATCATATTAGTGATTTTTACAAAAAACAATGCTTCAATTTCTTCACTGCTTGTTCAAAAGAGTTTATTCTATATTTAATCGCTGCACTATTTTAATAGCAGATAAGATGTTTTTAATTTACACAAGTAATTTATATTTTTACTTACAGCTTTCGAAGTTGAACATACCATTAATTTTTCATTTACTTTTTGTACTTTTTGTTCAGTTCACCGTAGATTTTGCTATTTCACAATACGCGAGACTACAATAGCCCAATTGCAACATTAGTTGAAGAATTCGAGACTTGGCTGCTGTAAAATACATTCTAAAATCAGAAAAAACAACAATTTGTTATTTAAAAATATTTGTAAACACAGTCGACTTAGAATAGTAATGTATGGCTTTAAAGGGCAAATGATCCTCAGTCTTGGAAATGGAAGGCTGCATGGATTTGCAAGGTGAGAGGTTCCTTTTCAATAAGCGTCAATCTGCAAGTAAAATCAATTCCCTCTATATCTCTATCCTTCTCTATCACTCATCCTCTTTTATTCTTCCTCTCTTTATCTCTATCTTCTTTAAATTCGTCTGCTATATTACTATTTTTCTATCTCACTTTTCTACTTTTGCTTCCAAATGCATAATATTCGTTGTTGAAAAGTTTTCCTCATTATAAAAGCCAACGATGATATCACGAAAGGGAAACGGATGGTCCTTTATCAATGCATAACTCGAAACGAATTTTCCTTAGACTTCCAATAAGCTGAAAAGTTGTTGAGTAAGAAGAAAAAGAGTGAGAACGCGAGTCACTAAATAATAAAGAAAATGCTTGATGCAAAAGGATAAAGTTGAGAAGTTAGTGTGCGAGTAATAGAGAGAGAGAGAGAGAGAGAGAGAGAGAGAGAGAGAGAGAGAGAGAGAGAATATATATAATTTATTTTCGTAAAAATATTTTACCGACTGCATCGAAATCTTTTTTTATAATTAAGAACATTAATACATTAACGCTATATATAATCTCTTAATAATTATATTTGATAATCGTCTTTTTTTTTATCTTATTTATAGAAACATTTTAAATACGTATTTACGATAAACACGATAAAAGAAAATACAATTCTAAAAGTAATAACAAGTTTAACTCCATTTTTACTACATTCCTTGCAGTGAAATTTTTTAATTCTTGATTTGCGAGTAATCCTTAAAAATAAAGATTAACCATGTTATTTTATAATACTTTTTGAACTTGAAGTACACATTACTGACGAAATATATTTACACAAAAATTAAGCGGATTCTACAATCTTTCTAATTTAATAATTGAAAGTATAACAATTAGAGTAATAAACAAAATAGGATTTTCGCATTTAGGAAAAGAAAATAAATCGTTTTCCTGTCGGGCATACATAAATTTTTCGATGATAGTATATTACTGGTTTTTGCCCTTACAAATACTTAAATCGGCTACTGTAATTAAATAAATTTTAATTAAAAATACACACTATGAGCTTCAAGCCGTTTAGTAGTAGGATTTCCTAGTTTGTTTAGCTGCAACCTGAAGATAAGTTATTTACTTGAAGCTAACTTTAGTAACACCGCAAGAGAAAGAGCTTTAATTGTTGTATGATATAGAAAGATTCAGCTGTATAAAGATTATGAGTATTTACGTTAATGTTTAAGAATGGATAAGTTTATTATATTCATTACTAATAGGCAAAATAAGAAGAAGGAGAAAAGAAAATTAGAAAGGAGGATATAAAAAAAAAAGAAAAAAAATTATTTGCGAATTGGATTATAGGCAAATTTGTTATTATTAAGACTCGTATAAAATTATTTAATTATTTTAAGCCTATTATTTATTTAATTATTATTTATTTATTAATTATTATTATTATTATTTATTTAATTAATTAAGCCTATTATTCATGATATAATATAATAATATATAATAATAAATATATAATATAATAAAAATAAATTATAAATTATAATTATATTTATAAATAAAAAATTTAATTATATAACATATAATAAATATATATTAATAATATATATTAAAATTTATGAAAAACACATTCTCTATCAACTTGTAAATTTCTAAAGATTCAAAAGTTAATTCAATGTAAACTTGCTCTACAACCAACGTCTACCTTTCTAGATTTGTACATATTTGTCCATTTCTTTCATGGTTTGACCAATGGAAGTTAATTTATACTAATTCATGAGTATGTAGACTCATCATATATCAGCAAATTAATTCGCAAATTTAACCTTAGAGATTAATGAATTAGCGAGGCTAAAAAAAAAAAGTTTTTCAATTTTTAAAATTCAAAGTGAAAATATGTAACAAATTTTTTGTAACAAATTGTAAATTAATATATATATATATATATATATATATATATATAATGGTTTGTAGGTACGAATATTTGTTAAATTTGCGAAATCACTTTGCTATATATTTACTAAATATCATTTAATATATTAATAAATGCTTATACGCCTTATTTATTTATGTTATATAGATGAATGTTAGATTCTCCCGAGGTTTTATATAATCATAAACATATGGGGCATTGTTAGTACGACTTCTAATAAAAATGGAATGTGAAATCTTTTAAAAATTGTTACGACTATTTGGCTTTAAAAACTTACCGTTCATATGTGAATACAGTGCTTTCACTTGCTATCGCGACCATTTTCTGCATTATAGTTTAAAAATTTCTCTGTCTACGTCACAGGCACTGTTACAGGGAAATATGGGAATTCCTTGGGGTAACGAGGGTGGAATATTGCATTCCGCAATCGTGTGCGCGCGCGCGCGCGCGCGTGTGTGTGTGTGTGCAGAACGTCCCGTAAAAGTGAAATCATGCCTGCATAGCTGCAAGTACTGCATAAACCGTTACGGAAAGACGTAAATAAATTTCTTCCTTACTCAAGGTCATCGATGAATTCACATTCTTTAGATCAATAAGATAGGATTGTCCTGGCTCGTTTAATTGATTGTCAATAATTTTTTACTGCCTATTTATGCTAATAAATTCACGGGACTGTGACGCTGAATGCGCTACGCAAATAAAACAACATAACATTGAACGAAATATTTATAGACTAAGAGAAGTGCTTGTATTTTATCAAATTAAAAAATTTGCAGATACATAAATATATGAATAATAATGATAATTAATTCAATAACTTCCATTTATCGTAATTTTTCTATTTACCTCTACGTATATATTTGCTTATTCTTTGCTTATTATAATTAGAAAAAATTATATTATCGTTTAAGATAATTGTAAAGATAACAATATTTTAAGCATTTTATATTTTGCTGGAATAATGCTGATGGT